TTTAATAGGGGTGAAAAAAATTTCAAGCTACGCAACAAAACAGCATCTTGATACCTCTTGGGGGTTCTTTTCCAAATTTCCGAAGAGCACCCCGGAGATTTAGGGCTTAGGTTTGCCTCTAGGGTGCTGTTTCAAAATTGCTCAGATTATCGTCATCTTACTCTAACATAATATTAACGACAGCAATTTGTCTTACCCCTGACCGGATCATGGCTTCAAATGATGGCTCAAAGTAGTCTATTCTTCCCTCTATCAGTTGAGGCAAATCCTGAGATGTAACAAACCAATCATTCGTGAGTAGAAGACTTTGACATAGTACTTGTGCATGCTGATGCGCTCGAAACTCATTGTAAGTGGCCCACTTTACATTGATTTGGGCAATAAATAATAAGACACGTCCGAATTCATACGGTTGCAACAGCCGCCTTCGCTTTCACTTAGCGCAGGAGATTACCGTCCGAACGACCGTTTTTCAACCTTTTGTTAAATCCGCAAATATTTGTAAAAAGCACGTAGACTTTGTGCGCGGTGGTGTGGGGACTTTTCGAAATTGCAATGTCAGCGTTTCAATAGCCTAGGTTACAACAAGTTCACAAAATCTCCAAGACACATCCTTACCTCCAACATGACGGCGTTTTGTCTTTCATAATCCAGTTTTGCTGCTGCAAGCGCTTGATTATTCTAAAGGAAGCGCAACCACTGATTACTTCATGTAAACGTATCATCATTTGTATTGACAATGTGACACTCATAACACACGCGTAATTTGTTGAAACCAATCATAACATAGCAGATGTCTTCTCAGCCAATCACGCACAAAAAGAAACCTAGGAGTGACTTGGCTGACGTGACGTGAATTTTCCCGCCCTTGCTACTGATCACGAGTATTTGTTTCGAGTTTTGATTGGTCTATTTCACTGGGCGCAAACAAGAAACAATCTGATTGTCCAAGCACCTATTTTCCACCTTACAGAGATTGCTTTTTTGTTTTGCCCAAACAAATAAAGAAAATTGATTTCAATTTTAGTTTTGAAAAACAAATGACATTACCGCATCCAGTTTAGCTTGATTTTGAGGAGTTTTTTCTCTTTCTTGAAGCTTCAGCACCTTAGCTTGGTACTTCTGGTAATCCTTTAATAACAAGTAATTTATAAATTATTCACCGCGGCACAATCATTGAATCTTGTTAAAGTCTGTCCACATGGTCTGTCAGAGGACTGAATCACTTAGTCTATGATTACATCCCAGGTGGGGGGGAACTCCTATATAAAAAGAACAGGCTTACTTGTTGGAAATTTTGAAAAGAACCCCTAAGAGGTACCAAGGCCCTGTTTTGTGGGCGTTTTTCACCCCTAAAATGTACTACCAATTCTTACATAACACTTCATCTCCTGTCACATTTCTTCAGCTCAATACCCTAAAAGGTATCACAAAAGCTCCCACTGTGGACCTTTTGAGGCAGAACACCCTAAGAGGTACCAAACCGGGTTTTTTAACCCCTGAAAGGTATGATGAACACCCCCGTCCTTTTCATGTGGAAGTACCCCCAAGGATATTTACATGTTTACATGTGTATTTTGTTACATGTGAAGCTTTGAAGACTCTTAAGTAAACTACATAGAAAAGGAATCTACACCTGTGAATAGCTTTTGCATTATGTGTTATAATGTGCCAAAATCAGCAGGTCAAGTCATTCCTTGTCAAAAGCAACTTTCATACCTGCAGTGCTTGATCTCTTCTTTTTATTGCAGCATTCACACTAGGAAACACACCACTGAACCTGAATAGCATCAAAATGTTAAATGCATATAACAAAGGAAATGCCATGTTTCACTGACATTCTTGTTCCCAGAGGTTGCAATACTTTCAGATGGCACCAAGAACTGTGACCACTTGGCGGGCAGAGGGGGACTCCCATTTGAAAGGGTCGGTGATGCTTGTTGGAAAATTTGAATTAAACCCCTAAAGGAGACCAATCTGGGAATGGTTCAAGCTTTATTTGACCCCTTGTAGACACCACTAAAAATGGAATTGGCTCGATTACCAGATGATGTTCAGGAAAGGAGCCCACATTAGTAGACTACACTGACAACGACACAGCCTAAAAACAGAAATAATGTTGAGGGTTTTTAAAATCTTTTCTTTGAGTGCACCATAAAGATACTTTGACAGCTAAAAATAGTGGTGTTTCCTCATGAACACCCTACATGAGACCAGAATCCTTGATTTGTACCCCTAAGCAAGACGACAATCATCATCGACCTTTTCATATGGGAATCCCCCCCCCAGAAATTGTGACCTCTGTCTGGTTCCAAGAATGTCATATCTGACAAATATGAAAGACTGATTGAATAAAAAAAAGAGTATTCTGTGCATGCTGCAAGAACACTGGATTCGACCAGGTTAAATGATCCTTGGAGCTGACTAAAAGTATTGCGGCCTCTAGAGATGAAAATGTTGCATAGAGACTTAAAAGTATTAAAATAAATTAATATCAAGGATTATTCCATTTACTTTTTCATAGGATCTGCCACTGTCTTCTGATTTCTACTTGCCTGTATGAAGAAAAAGCAGAAAAATAAGAATTATTGCAATGCGCTAACTGTCAATGATAATAACAACTAACAATGATAATGACATAGTCTGCAACAGCTGCTTGAAACCCATCCTTAAGCTTGTAAAACGGAGTGCTGTTAACTCTTTTATCTCCTTTTTTCATCAACTGGAATGCAAACAGTAGATGTATTACCAAAAGCATCCCCGAATGTGACAAAGAATAGCCATGTCACAATCCAGGAGGAAACCCATTCTCTAGACTACCAACTGAAGGGTACTTTTCCCTGTTTACCCACCGCAAGTTTGTATGAAGAGTGACTTGTAAACAAGATCAATCAAAGTAAATGTATGGTTCAATCAGATTGGAACATTCACAACTCGTATGATCAAATATTTGAAAATTAACAGTGGCAAAAGTCACTGACCAGTTCTTGTCTAAGCTCATCTAACCTCTCTGCACAGGCTGTACACTCCTGAAGCTGTCAATACAACACAGGAAACCCATTCAGTTACCATTTCAGGCTTGATTCTGCGTGAAGGTCAAAAAGCTCTTAATGACTGACCCCAAGGGAAACAGTGAGTTTTGTTTCCTTGAGATCCTCAATTAGCATTTAGGGAAACATTGAGAGTCAATGGGAAGCAAAGCTCACTGTTTTCAATGAGGCCAGTCACTGAGTGTTTTGTTATGCCTCCAACGTGAAAATGGAACAAACTGCGAAAAATTTATTTCCTTGACACTGGCTGGCACACAAAGTTGCCATAATTTCAAGGTGAACAACCTGATCAAAAGTTCAAGGTGTTCAGACAATTTTTCCAAGTTGTTGTTTCCTTAGGGAGTTAGTGAGTTTTGACCCATGACACATGACAGGTTCTCCTCCTACTGGGAAAGGTGTTTGAGTTGGGAGGTACATGTATAACAACACAAATTTTCTTTCAATCCTTTAACTGGGTGAACTAGAGTACAAGTTTACTTTAAGACACGTAATCACTTGGACCTCCCTTTTGTAACATCCTCATACAGTACACCATGTATATTTTTGGTTGCTTAGATCCTTTTTTACAATTTGTTAACACTGCATAACAGCAAATTATTTACAGCTGTGTCAGTATATATGAATAAACCATGGCTCTTATATACTAAAAAGTAACCCAGGCAAATTACTGAAACGTAGCCAATTCACACATTAATTCCATTTTCTTTCGAGGCAGCCTAAATGGTTATCATATCCAAACTTACAGGTTCCCGAAACAGGTCACCCTGAGAAACTGGACTCGCAGCAAGATCCTGATAAATACGCAGTTCAGCTTTTGACAGCGCTGAAGTAGAAAGAAAAGAAACTTACAAATGCAGGGTTGTAGCTAAGAAAATAGTCGTCGGGCTAAGATTTTCTTTGACCTGGTCACCAGTTGCACAAGAGACCTGGAACAAAATGCTTGTCCCCACTGTAGTCTTTTGCAATGCCTTAAACGCGGAGCTACCATTAAGCTTTGTTTTTACAAGATGGCAGATGCAGTACATGGAAACAGAACATGCTAAACAAGTGCTCAAGGCAAGATTTTATTTCAGTTACCTAACTTGTTATAGTGGCACCAATACTCAAGGTATAGTCAGGAATTTATTCCACACGTTTAATTTATAATTAGATGGTTCGATATCGTTCAGATATTGAATGATTGTACATGTACATGCATAACCTAAAAACCTTTTGGTGTCCTTTACCAAGTTATTGCCTGCCAAAATCCAGCCAGTGATCACCTCTTTCTCAGCCGAAGAATTTCACTGGCAGCTGGTGCTTAGCGACAACTGTGCAAATGATACTATTCAAATTGGCCACACTCATACAAAAAAGTTTCATACTATGTATTTTGAAGACTTACCTGAGAGTGCTTCTCCATGTTTTCTGGTGTCTTTGTAAATCTTCTTTGTTGCACCTTCTAACCTACATTGATTTACAAAATAAACAAAAAAAACAACATTTGTCCAAGGGCAGAACAGAGTGACCCCAGTTAAGGTTCAAACTCAAGATTATTTATTTTGATCATGCCAATTCATGGCATAACCATTGGGACACTGTGCTGTCAATGAGAAATAAGTCAAATGTGTCAGTTGAAGTTATAGACAATATCATCATAACACCTACTGGTTGAATTTTGCAACTTCTCTCTCAAACTCTCTATCACCCTGAAAAGCACAATGAAGAAAAAGTATGATCTAAGGGATGAACATATAGCAAGAATTATAAATTAATTTTACAAAATCCATTTAATTGACAATGATACTAAGAAGTAAGCAGATATAGATGTTGTAATTGTAATTTTCTGGTTGATACAAATAATGGCAGTCTTGTACTGCAGACCAATATTACAAACAAACAGAGCCTCTAAGTTTTCACCATGAAAGCTGATAATAATAACAAATCTTGGATGCTGCAAGTTGAACTCCTTCTCAATAAAGAAATTAGCTACAACTAAATGACCAAGATAACACAAAAACCAAATTGCATGTAAGAGACGAAGAAGATGAAACCTTTAACCACAGTAGCTTAACAACTTGCAAAATTATTTGAATGATAACAAAAATGTTTACCTGAAATGGTTTACAGTAGTCGTAGTATTATTAAACCCAAGAGTTGTGTGATAACACTACTGTCCCCAGGAAATACGGTTTACGGTTTTCCATACTAGTTTTCATTACTGGGTTTAGTTTTTTAAATGACTATGGAATATGCAATCAGGTATTGACAGATAACAATAAAAATATAAAATCCTGCTCTTTGGAAACCATTATTATTTACACTGGAGAGTAGAATGAATGCAAAATATATAACTCCTTTGGTTAGTAATATTATGAGCTATCCTAATAAAAGTTTAAAAAATAAAAAAAATCTTCTCAAGTAAAATAATTTGAAGCTTACCCAAAGTGTATTATATTTTCTTCTCACTCTTGATCTCTTTCCTATACAGCTAAACATTTTTTTTTATCAAAAACTGAAATCGCACCTGTCTCGTACGTGCAAGAAGTGTGAATGTCATTGACAATTGAATTTACATAGAATAAAATTCTAAACCCAGCAATTTGTGTGAAACTGTTTGATTGCCAAGCAAAATTCCAAATATTCTGAAAAGATTGAAAATCAATTGTAAACTAACTGAAAAAGAGCATGTACACGGCACTTATTTCAAGCGTGGACTTCTATGGTCTATCAAAACCAATTCTCTGAGAAAATTGTTTTTCATCCCAAGTTCCAATGAGTAATTGAAACCGTTTGTGAACTTGAAATTTGCTAGTTGTATTGGCTGATTAATAATTAACAAGATCACTGTTTTGACAAACGGATGTCAAGTGAGGAATATTTATTTTAGCCCTGTTACCACCTTCAGAGATAATAAGGAAACATACAGGTTACTTGGGATGCACTGTACATGAAATTTTTCAGGATGACTGTAATTTTATGTTCGATTATGGAAGTAAAAAAGGAAAGGCTGGAAGGTCAGGAAAGAAAGTTGTAAATTTGCAGTCACACCATACTAATGTCATGCTTGAGACAATTATCATGAATGCACTGAACTACTTGAATTCTATTTCTGAGTTTTTACATGCATTTCTTTTGCAAGACAAGAAGAACCCTAGAGTCAATTACCTTGCAAAGTCTGGGATTTACTATCTGCCCCATCTACTTGGTGACAGGCAGTAAACCATGAAGGGTTTAAATTGGTAAAATCTGAGACTCGCTTACACACAAAGACCCTGCTATTGAATCCAAGACTGAGACTTGACAAATTTTTTTCAAATCTCAGCCTGAGATATAACAATTCAATTATCTGTAATTTTTACAAGCACTGCTGACAGATATAATATGGCAATTTACATGTACAAGCAGAATATATTCCAGTCTACATTTCACAGTAGCAATTGTGAAGTAGCGAGGAGAGTGGCGCCAGGGGAGCTGAGGAGGGCTTTAGCTAACCCCCCCCCCCCAATTTCAGGCAAAAAATACATCAAATAATATTTTTGCAAATATCTGCAGACCCCCTACAAGTTAGCGCTTCTGGCACTCACTTGTAAGCCCCCCCCCCCTTCCCCATCCCTGTGAGTTGGCTCATTTTTTGAGGACCATTCCCTTAACAGTAGACAAATAGCTGAGTTGCCCTCCTCTTATTGGAAAACTAATTGAAGGTCTTGGAAGAAAGGTTCACCCTTCAAAATTCACACTGGTCTTCTTTTTCAAGCAAGGAAACATCAACGTTCACTCCCAGGTCCGGAGAGAGACTTGCAAGTGAAAGGGTCAGTGCTACCCATTGGATGATTTGTGTTACACTCCTGAGGGGGTGTTTTGAAAAACGATTTTGTTTCAGTGACACAGTATGACTGCCTTTTCTGTTTGCAACCCCGAAGAATAACTCAGACTGACTTGTGAGAGACCCCCCCCACCCCCCTTCCCCGAAAGTTCACTTGTTATTTCCGGGGTATTTATAATGTCAGTTGTTTTGCCTTCCCACAAGTTATTACTGAACTGTGAAAAGTTATTACACCATTATAAAATTAAGAATTAAAAATTCCAAAGAGCCGGCTATTTGATCCAGATAAAAGCTGAATAGCTTCGTGCTACAGAAAATAAGATAATTATTTAGCCGTCAAGCAGGATGAAATAGACGTGAAAAGTTTTATACAGCAGCACATTTAAGCTCAGCATATAAACTTACCGGGGTTTAAACACACGAAGATCTCTACTCACCGATTGCTTTGGAGGTGGCTTTGCCTTCTTGAAGGGATTCCTATTGTTTTGAAGATAAATTACGTTAAGCTTCCCGAAGAAAATACGATCGATAACACCTGCAGAAGTGATAAGCTTGAGTTGTCAAATGATTGGTGGACTTTGAAGAGTTCCCGTGGTTCATAAGAACAAAATACAACTTTTTCATGTCGAAGTTCTGATTTCTAACATATTGAATAATATCGTTAGAGGTATTGCTTACCAGCTCATATCAGCGAATCATTAAATACTATTTTGTCTAAGCGTCATGTTTATGGTTCTCCTGTCTGTTTATCCTTGTGCCTTCGCTCCTCCGTGTTCGTGATCAGCCGGAGATCTTCGGTTATGTGCGAATGTCGAATATGTCCAAATAAGGGTAATATCGTATCGTACGACTAAGTCACTCGGCATAAGTTGTGTTTCTTGTCACATGGCACACGGGTCTGGGATGGTGACTCCATTTTGGTAAAGCGAACGAGTTATATTATGAAAGTCAAAGGAAATACACGTGGTAGAAAGCAGAGAGTACCTCGCGGTCGCGGAAGAGGAAAACGGACAGACTTCCAGAGCACAGACTTGGTTGTAACTGTGTCAAATGAAGATAACAGTTCCTCGCGCCTGAAACCTCCGGTTACCGCGAGCCAGCCTCGAAAGATCGTGCTCAACCGCAAAACTGGTAAACTGAATGAGCTTATTCTGTGTGTATCGTTTGTCAAAACAGAGTTGAAAATCTCTCATTCGCTGATGGTGTTTTTCCACTTTAGAATCCACTGATTTGGAGAAAGTGACTGTGAAGTCTTTGGACGAAATTAAACGCGAAAAAGAGCAGAGACAGCTTGGAGGATCTGCACATGAGACAACAAGCCACGATTCAGTGCAAGCTGGCGGGTCTGCTAAAGACAGTGGCGAAGACAGAAATCTTTTCGGTAAGATTCCGATAGATTACAAACATTTGAAATCAGGTTTTTGTCAGAAAAAACGAGATTTGTCAACCTTTCATAGAATATCCGTGCCTTTTAACATACGTGGTCGATTTCCACCATCGCGCGCCTTGGGAAATTTGAACGGATGCACTCCTTTAAGCCTTTCAGCCTTCTTATTCATATCCAGCAGTATTTTTTTGCATGGATACGAGCTAAAGTTACGATTATGGAAGCGAAGATTTTAGTCTTACGGCCGGTTCGTTCTACAACTACACTAAGCTTGTTTGTTTGTGTTCTGTATCAGTGGAGTGATCCCAGGGGAAAATATGGGTAAGAGCTTCTTGGGAAAGTCCCTGGATATTGTAGAAAACATAAGAGCGTGAAAGGCACTGCGAAATAATACGCCTGTAGTATAATTTCTTAAGAAACATCGGCAAAACAACCTCTGTTTAAATTTGCTGTTGAACAGATATCTTGTCCTGTGCTACACAGAAACGACAGATTTAGGCCCGGTTCAGACGTCGTGCTTCTGCCGTGCCGAACTCAATCCTGCCTAGGAAAAAAGATGGCGACTGGTACATTTACCCATAGTTCTTAGCGCACGAAAACCTTAACAACGTTTATAAAAACGTACAGAAGAGCTATAAAATCTTCAAACCTAGCATACAGAATGTCCTTAGTACAGGGACAAATATTGTAAACATATGGCTTTCTTTCTGCCTTATAGGCTGTGTTAGGTTCGGAAGGTATTGTGGTAAAATGTACAACCGCCATTGTTTTTCCTATGGTGGATTGCAATTTGGTTCGACTATGACACGGCAGAAAAACAACTCTGATTCAGATGTTGTGCTAGAGTTGAACCAAATTTAGAATTTACTGATGCCTCTGAACAATTCTCCTCCTAACTTCCCGTGGGAACGCAATCCTGCCAATATATGTTAATATAATTTATGAATTTTGTTTGGCGCGACAGAGGCACGATGTTTGAATTGCTGCCGTGGCAGAGTCGTGTAGCATGGCAGAGCTTGTTGAACTTAATTGCTTGCCGAACTTAGTTCAAAAGTTTGATTCAGACACCGTGCTTCTGCCATGCTTTTGTCGAACTTAATTCCTGAATTTAGTTTGGCACAGCAGAAGCACGACGTCTGAACTGGGCCTTAGTGCATGACTTTGTCAAAAATAAGACTTATTCTAAAAATAATAGCCCAGTCAATGCTTTTGTACCCAAAGTTTGCAAAGTTATAAAGTTTGGTTCATCTTTGCAGACACTTTCAGTAAACCAGCGAAGGTTGATCCCAGTTGCCGAGGTGAACCAGTTGCCGCCACCCGATCTGGGTCAGGATCTGAAGTGTCAAGTACAAGTGGAGTGACATCAAGACCAGAGCTGAAAAAATTATCAATTCCCTTAAAAGCATTACCTGCACTGGCACCACACCACAAGATCTTGCCTGGAAAACAACCGATCAACGCAGCTATTCCGAGGTGGGTCAGCAAACAACTTCTGAAAACTGTAATTCAAAGTGGTTGTGGGTCAGGTTTTTGTTACAAGTTACAGAATCAGATAGCATCTCTACAGTGGAAAATCATAATTATAGTCGGAGTGTTTGCTGAAAAGCTGTTTAAGTACTTTTATGGCATGTTCACTTATAAGTTTTACTCTCAAGGCCATGAGGAGGGAAATGACCAAGAGTTTGGCACTTTTGTGAGGTTGTTTTGTCACAGCAACCTTATGTTTTGCTCCAATAAAGATAAAATCAACATCTAAATAATTTTTCAAAATGTCAAGCACACAATAGGCCACAACTATCAACAAGTGATTGTTAAGATAGATCCCATACCCACCCTAAGAAAGGTAACAGATATTCCAAGGGGAAGGGGCGGGGGGAATGGGGTTTAAAAACAAAATTTATAAGGAAAGTATTTGGGGGGGGGGGGGATCTAACTAAATACCTTCCGTGGGAGGGGTATGGATATATTCCAGAACAGCACATTATTTGACTGTTTTTTTAAATTTGTGTGGCTCATAGTAGTTGGCTTAAGATACAGAAGTAAGGAGATTATTTTAAATTTGTAAACTTTTTCTTGTTGTGTTTTTCCTTTTAAGCCCCGTAGAGACCAGTGAGATGGATTTTGAGAGTAGCCTGTCAGATCAAGAGTTTGATTACCTAGATGGTGACGAAGAGTCTGACCTTGCTAGTGACCTTGATGAAGACTTCGTATTGAAAGAGGAAACAGAAACAAAGCAAGACCCACAAATGACAAGAGAAAGGTCTGAAAATCACCAAGATGGTAAAGATGCTAACATGAATGACGGTGGTTTCTCTGCTTACGTCGATTACACCGGTGTACCTCTAGCACAAGATTATGCAGAGGAGGAAGAAGATGATGTTATCTCACTGCATCCAGATGATTCGTTGTTAGACGAGGAAGATGAATTCAGTATGAACAGCAACAGACTTGTGCGCCCAAGGTTGGTTTCCATGTCGCATTTTTGTTTACATAGCTTTTGTCAATTCTTTTGCAATGTGATACTTTTTTGATCAAATGCCAGGTCTCCAAAATAGAGTTATAAGTACATGTAAGTCCCTCAAATATTTATTTGAAGTATACTCTAGTAGTACAGGGGCTCCATTAATGTTTTCTGCAGAAAGACATCTGGTTTTCACAGGTGGGTAAAACTATTTGGACTGAAGTTCTTCGTATGAAAAACTTTCTCCTGTAGATGGTCAGACCAGCTGGGTAAAATCATTCTTGCAGCTGGTCAGTTTGCCTGGTGGTTGGGCTCTTAATGAAACCCCTGGTGGTAAGTTAACTCTGGGGAAGTTTAATCATGAAAAATTAGTGCCTTTGTTATCTTGGAAAGGATTTATTAGGCTAGCTAATGTAAGTGTTTTTCCCGTGAAACACTGGAACTTGAGAGGCCACCAAGAAATCAAAGAAACTGGCCAAACTCGGCACTGGAGTTAATCTCTAGCCCTGTAAGATGTGAATCAACCCACACTCAATGTTGTGAGTAAGTTAACTGTGGAAGTAGTGTATTTGGATGTTTATAACTTTCCACAGTGAGGTGGTGGTTGGAAGAGCAAAATAAATGTTGGAATCTATTGTTTCAGGATTTTGGGAAGAAGATCAGGTAGTGAGTCAAGAGATTTGAGAATGATGATTACTGACAGACAGAAACAGTCTGAAGAAAGCTCTAGCACCAGTACAACTGCAGTGAGAAGGCCAAGCGAGGAGCCGCAACCTGACAGTGGGGAAATAAAGAGTCAAGAAATGGAAAAAGATGTTGTTAAAGGGGATAAGTCTGATAGCACATACAAATCAGAAAACTTGTCACATAAATTACGTCACAGAGAAAGGGTTTCACCTTGGAGAGGATCCAGAAGACAGGAAAATGAAAGGCATAGAGACAGGGCTCCCCGAGGTCGAAGTGGTGATGCTGTTTCAAGAAGAGGTAGACAAAGATTGAGGTCAGGCCCAAGAAGAGAAAGTGGATCTAATGTTCCAGTATCATCACTGTTAGGGTACCCTCCAGCTTTACCACCGTTATTTACTCCTGTTGAGGGACTGCTTCCTCTTTCTGGATTGTCACAGGTGCAAGCTGCTTTAGAAGAAAAAATTAAGTCAGCTAAGACAAAAATGCAGATGACTGTACTACAGATGCTCACAAACCCACCCCCAGTTCCTGGTGAACATGTACCCGAGTATGACCGCCACAGACAGCAACCTCCCACACGACATGGACCGTATGGTCCTCGCGAGAGTAAAAGAACAAATGAACGACATCCTCCCAAAAGACCTCAAAGGAATGTACCAGATGCTAAAAGTAGTATAGCTCCGCTCATGCCAGAACATGTTACACACAAGGAAGAACATGCTCCAAACATAGGACAAGTGCCTTCACAGAAGAAGGCAGAACCCAGTGGTGACCTGCCACATTGGTTGCAAAGAACAAGAAAAGCCGAGCTTACTGATAATAAAGACCAACAGGTGATAAACGAAGCAAATGTAAATCAAACCCACCAAGAAAGCACTGTTGTCAAGACAGGAGGAGAAGTATCGCAGTATGAAGCCACCGACAATGCATATCGACATGAGGCTGTGGCACCAGGTTTTCAAAATGACTGTAACAGCAGTACTGTCAACGATGTAGAAAAAGCAAGACTTGCAAGAGAATTACGCTCTTCAACAGACTACAACTCTGAGATGCAGGCCTTGACAAGTAAACGAAAAAGCCCTTTTTGTGATGAAGAGATTCAACATGGAGCCAAGATTGTGATTGCAACGAGCCCTGAAGGATTGCCACAGCCAGGTCCAGCAAGAGGACTGAAAGTTCATCCTAAAGGATACTGTTTTCAACAGCTTGACACAGGGTGCTGTACTGCCAAGTCTTGCAAATATATGCATCTACCTTACGCAAAGCTTGTTGAGGTAAGACTTTTTGGGTAACAATCCTTTGAGGCAAAATCAAAGGCAAAATCTCGTCTGATATTTAGGGAAATCAGATGTGTGATAAAGTAAGTTAATTTCTTATATTTCATGCATTTTATCAGTAGGAAATTAGACAATTAGATAATTGATTAGATACACGACCCCTCAAGCGTGTGCTTAAATGATAATCGTGTTTTAAGTAAAGGATTTTACTTACTGACTTACTTTACTAACAGAATCCCTAGAAGGGCTGTTTAACTGTAGTTTTTCAAATGGGTACCCTGATGACGACTTTTTGTATCATTCACTTTCTATGCAACTTTGATTGAGATCAGACATCAGAGTTTGAAAGATATTACCGTGTTCTTGTGTTGTGTTTTTCTGTGACACGCTTGACCTTTATCCCTTTTGAATTCTTGTGATGCAGAATTGTTTCTCCTGTGATGAACTGGTAGAAATATTTACTTGGTTCTTTATTGAGTTCAGTTCTTTAGTGCAGATGACCTGACTTCTCTTTAATCAGCTGATTTCCTTCAAATATTTTGCAGTATCAGAGATCAATGCAGTCAGAGAACACTAACAGGTTCGCATTTTAAAACATTTGAGATGTTAGAGCCATGCTAGGAAACTTCTAACTAGAGTCAAACCTCCACTGACAGCCACCTCTCTATAATGGCTACCTTGCCGCAACAATGGCCACGTTTTTTGGTCCTAGCAGATGGCCCATACATTTACCATTACTTTGACTTCTTTACAACAACCACCTTTCCACAAGGGCAACGGCCTTTAAAGCATGTCCTAACTGCAAATTAACCTCTTGACAGTCAATTAATCAACAACTGTTTTCAGTGTATTTAAAACCCCCTTTTTTATTGTGAAAGGTCACAAAACTTGATCCTTACCCCAAGTCGGTGGTCTCTGTTTGGTTTCTGTTTTATTGACATATTAATATGCTGTAGTAAGCTTTGTTGCACCCCCCTTTGGAAAAAGATAACAGGTTTCATGTTACACTCATCTCCCCCAAGGTGGCCATTGGGAAGAGGTTTGACTGTAAGTTGATATCTAATTTCTTAAACTCATTAATAATTCATCAAGTTTGAACAAAGGAAATCATGACCTTGATGGTGTTTGGATATGTGATCTTAATTATCATTGATTTTGACGATTGTATTTCTCCGTTTTCTCCTTAGTTTTAGTTTTGATTGAGAAGATAATATCAAATACTCAAGACAGTGTTTGACCACATTTCCAAACATCTCGAAGTTCGTCAAAAATACTCTGCTGCACAGTGTATTTTCAACTCTCTTCTTGGTGTTTGAAAATGTGGTCAAACACGGTCTTTCATGTTCGATATATCACTTGAATACATAAAAGTTTGTCAAACCCTTCAGGCATGTTTTTAATATCAAAGAACTTTGCAAAGTTAGGTTCAGGCTCATATGGAACTTTGGAAAAAAAAATTTATACATATTTATATCGTGAAGGAAGGTAGTGAGTTTTGTTTGAACATTTTGTAGTCAAGGCCATTGTGTCTTGGAAGCACAACCTGAAGACCAATTGGAGCAAACTGCCACTACTGCACAAGAAATACAACCTCAAGGTAACTTACCATGTTAATGGAGTCATTAATATTTTTGTTAAAATTCTTTCCAGTTGAACTTTAACTTGAAATAGCAGTTCTTTCTTTTTTGCAGAAACTTGAATTGAGGATCAATACTACCTTTTTGAATTGTAGCGATTTAAAAACTTACATAGAAGTCAGATCTGGGTTAAGTATGGTAGTGTAATGCCATTTATGTCTTCTCTTATATTTTCAGAAGAAGTTCCTCCAGTGTCTTACCAATTAGTTACAGAACTGCTGTCACAGAAGAATTTACGTAAGGATGTTGATATCGCTGCTCTAGAGCTCAAGTAGTGCTGGTTTTGACACTGTTATGGTGTTATCTGAGTTTGATATTTTATCAGACCAAAATAAGAGAAATCTGTCATTGGTAACTCAGTTATTCTTGCCAGCAGGGAACATTATGGCTAAATTGTGGGTCGATTGGTTTCCCCTTGAACAGCAAGGCACTGAAATTAATAGGCCATTTCCTTGGTTTCTTTTCCTTCTATGTGCATCAAATTAAACCTTTTGTGCAACACTGTTCATACATGTATGAAAATGTGTTTCATTTGCACATGGATATTCATCCAAATCAAACTTATCTTCACATGAAAAACTCTGTACCGAGACTCGTTTTGAAACAGAAGCAAAAATAAACTCAGAAATGGCATATTATGAAACCTGGTCACTGAATAATGTCATGTGAAATAACACAAACTTTGCGTTTGTGATGGAAATATGATGTGTCTCTAAACTGTAAAATTTTTATGTACTGTAAATCCTTGAATTAGCGCCTGGTGCACTTATTTCAAGTTAAGGAGAAGATGGTGGGGGCTTATTCTATGGAGGTGCTTAATCGAGGGGTTGCGCTTATTTAATTTTTCCCAAATCGTGGCCTGATATGATCATTTTTTTTAACACATCATCTGTGCGTAAACAACAGCATAAGCTGTTTATCGACCTAAAAAGCTGATCCTAAACTTTAAATCGTGGCACAGTTAGTACTTGAAATTTTTTCCAAACTTAATGTGTTCACAAACTGAAACAATGCACAAATCTAATACTACATGACAAAAACTACTAATCCTTTGTTGTCTCATTACTCATCCACAAAATGGGAGGGAGGAGGGGAGAGCTTATTTTAAATTTTGGCCAGTAGGAGGGGCGCTTATTTGAAGGGGGCGCTCATTTGAGGGGTGCTAATTCGAGGATTTACGGTATTTGAATCTTGTTTTTAAAGGTGCTGCATGGCAGATGATTGAGAAATTGTGCAGAGCAAACAAGCCTGACTTTGATATTTTGAGGCGCACTCTGACAGTTTCTAGTGAACACTTGGAAGAGCCTGACATTGCTGCCCAGGTAACATAGTCATGATGCACCAAATACTTCTAAATGTGACATTTAGTGGAACTTCTTGCATCACACAACTGATAAGCTGCAGGGGTTTCAGTGAGTGCCGCACACCAGGCAAATTGACCGGCTATGAGGATGATTTTGCCCGCCTGGTTTAACCGTCTAGAGGAAAGGTTTTCTTATAAAGAAGGTCACTCGGAAAGTTTTGCCGGCCTGTGAAAACCAATTGTCCTCCTACTGAAAATGTTCATGAAATACCTGAAATTACCAAAATGTGTTCATATGAACAAGCTGAGTTTTTACAAGTGAATATATCAAAGATCACATATTTGAACTGTGGAGAAAGATATGAAGATATGAAGACATGACATGTCTTCATATCTTTCTCCCCAGTAGAAATATATGACCTTTCATATATTCACTCACTTGTATTCTTCACCATCTATGGGTATATTATGAACTCACAACATGACCAGCTCCCAGTTGGCTTGGTAGCTCAGTTGGTAGAGCACTGGACCGGTATAGCAGAGGTCATGGGTTCGAATCCCAGTCAAGGCTGAATTTTTTCAGGCTTTTAGTTCACAACTGCTCAAGTTGTGTGTATAACTGCGATGATTAGTCATGTCTCCATTATTTAATTTTTTTATTGCGTTCAACAGAGATGTCTTCCTAGTAGTCACCTGGATATTTGTTTTGTAGGTTGCATGTCAGGCATTTGATATGATTGGTGAAAGGAATGGACAGCAGCATCGTCATGATTATACCGTACTTATCAAGACTCTTTGTCACTCTGGACAATATATCAGGTACTGTATTTTTAGGCGAGTTCTTTGGTTTTAAGTCCTATTTCCAGGATTAAAGAACCTTTCTGGATGTAAAGTAACCACAAACCTTGTTTGCTTGCATCAAGGCTACCTTGGAACTTTTATAGCCAAAAAACAGAGAATCCTTCTGTACTTTTCTACCATTTACATGTAGGATTGACTGCAAACTTCCATACTAATACATTAATGAAACACAAAAAGTATTTGTGATTGGCTAATTAGGGTGTTTGTCAATTGGAGACACTTCTGAAGTCACTTCCCAGATGACAGGCATGTATTCAAAGTGTGCACTGTTTATACATTGTATATATCTCAGATTTTTTGAGTTACTGGGAATAAGCATTTGACCATATTGCTTCTAAAATATAAATTACATGTAACACATTCATTTATATCCAGAGCTTATGAGATGCTTGATGTCATGAAAAGGAACAACCACATGCCAACATATGAAGTCTTTCTGGATTTGGTCCAGGCCTCGGCCAAAGATCCTGACTGGTAATGTGTTTTGTATTGTTTTTAATGATTGTACAACTGAGAACTATTTTGACAAGCACTCACCTGGTTTCATCTGATTTTGGTCATGGTTATTTTGACTTCAGTCAATGAAATTGATTGGCCAAGAATGTGGCTGTGAAGCTACAATCTTGGTCAGAAAAACCCCCCAAAAAACCACCTCCCCCCCTGAATCAGTGATGAATTTGTGCTAAAACCTAAAATGTGCCATTTTTTCCATCATTAAAGTGGGGGTAAGGGTGGTCTTAATTTTTCATTTCAGTTGACCAAGATTGTAGAGTATGAAGTGAAATATACCAAAACTAGAAGTTACTTGGGAAGGTGGTTATTTGTTCAGACTCATCATCCACACTATGCTGTTATAGATGACAGTCTGGCAGCTCATACAGAAGTACCAACACATGTACCTCTTGCTACTCAGGTTAACCTTAAATTCACTGACTATCTTAATGTATTCACCCGTCATGGGAGATGTTACCATAAATTTAACAAGAACAAATTTGATTTTCTCTGAACAGGGCTTTTAATCTTTTGGGTGAAATCAAGCAGTCAGGATTGTTCAAGTCAGGGTAAGAATTCATTGCTTTGTTTTGCTTCACCTGACTTCAGTTAAAGTTTTAGGCATCATCCTTAAGTTCTGAGTTCTTCGATGCCTTTCCCACTGTTTGCTCAGCAGGCAAGGCAGTATTGCCCCAAAAGAAGTCTTTTCTTGTGTGGTGTTTTTCCTGTTTCTGACCCAAAACAATTAAATGTGAACTGAGCACTACAGAGAGAAATAGCGATTGTGATGCAAAAAGAGCATCAGATTCCAATCAGTGTCTGGATGCATTGTTGGAGCCTAGTTTGGTTTTGGCACTAATAATTATTATGTCTGGCATTGGAAGAACTGAAATTGGTTTTTCACTCTGCAAACATTTAATCATGGCTGTGATGTACTGTGAATGTTTCTTAACAGGATCTGCAGTGATTTGATACTTCTTGGCTGTAACAGTGGTGAACACTTTGTTGAGAGGACTTGGTTTCTCTTTCAGGTATAGTTAGCTTTGTCATTCTAAAATTAACTCTTTTAGTAGGTTGCTGGATTTGTTCCTCAGAACTCTAAGGCTCAGAACTCTGATGTGTGTAATTTCCTTTTGCATAGGTATTTATCAGTTTGTTGTCTTTGTGTTCACAGGAAGCCTTACAAAGCCAAGTTAAGCTTTCAGCAGCTGCTTTTCAAACTATGCTCTTGTAAGAGATTTTAATGGTATTTTGTTTGTGGCGAGTTGTGAAATTATTTAGGGTTGATGCACACATTTTCTAGTTGGCCAGAGATGGCATAGCTTATGAAGCAAACCTTTCTCTGTATGTGTTGAGTACTAACCCCGTTTAAGAGATGCCCAAAATTGAAACTAAAAAGATCCATAGCCAAGATGTGACTGAGTTTGGAAAGTGACTTGGATTGCATCTTAATTGTGTCTGGAAAATATTTGGAACAAAGGAACCTGTAGTGTTGTGAATAAATCTACATGCATGGAATGTTAAGAGCCAATCACGTTAAAGGAATTAAAATATAAAACTTTAAGGTAAAAAGCTGTTAAAATTGAGTCTTAACGTTTTTGATTGAAAATGTTGAGACTCAATTTTAACAGCTTTTCACCTTAAAGTTTTATATTTTACTTTTATCGGCGAAATGTATATATGTAAAAGGAATTGTTTTGGTAGTTATACAAGTAGGCATAATGTTCGAACAGTGTGTGTCGGAACCAAGATGTAACTGTCGATTCGAGTATATTAAAGTACGAGTTATTTTATTCACCAAGACTCTACAGAACCTGCCAAGACAGCTACATATGTAATGCAATAATAGTTATGTTTGACATCTGTTAGGCTTTGTTAGTAGCCAAGTGGCTAGTAATCTTTAAAATCTCTTATTTGTGGAACACAAGAATGCAAATTTTTTGAAAACTTACTGAATGTTATGTACAGATTAGTACAAGTTTGTGTTCATTGTATTTAATTAAATTAATACCTGAAGTTTTCCACTACTCTTGGGCACTGAACTAGTGTAGATTTCAAAATGTGCCATTTATTGAGTGCTTCATGTTTGGCTGGGTTTAATTCATGAATGTGGTTTATTTTACAGGACCTTGTCACAAAGAAATTACTGGGAGAAGATAATGTCAGTGATAGCAGTCTACCCTGAAGCAGTACCGATTGAGATCTTAAACACTGCTATCTTGACAGCATCTCAGAAAGCTGATTGGGTTGAAATTATAATTGAACTGCTTGCCACGGCTCCAGCACAAAAATTAACTGAACTTGGACCTAATGTGAGATTTGTGTAGTACTATATAGTGCATATTGTAAGGATACTTGGCTCAACTAAACCTGCCTTCAGATATTTTGCCAGGAAGCTCAGACATCACTCACTTTGTGGAACATAGCAACTTAAGTGCTCCATTGTGAGAGGTCATTGTGATATGTTATGAGAATAAATTTGTTTGTCAAATCAAATGGGCTAACTAATACAAATATTCTGTTTAGGTGTGGAACTCATTTCTGTCCAGCTGCTGTGTGGAACATGCTAGCAACTTGTTGTATACTCAAAAGATCTATTCTTTGATGCAACAGAATGGAATACCGTTGGAACCCCAGGTAGGTCATGACTGGATTTGCAGAAACAGCTTGATTGATTCAAGCTAAAACAGAAATGATTATTTGAATCCCAAGGGTTGTTCATAGAATTAAAGAATATGAGTGGGGCCACATGAGGGAAAACTCTTGGAGAATTGAGAACAAATTGAACAGTGTCAACTGTGTGCTATATGTATGAATCGACTAGCATTCTATCACGAATGTCATTCTGTTGTAGATAGTGAGTGCTTAGCAGTGTGCAGAGCGCCTCTTTGTGTTTTTGAAGTATTTGTGAAGAGGACTTACAGTAGACAAAGTTTGTGAATGACTAGTAGATTTATACTAAAACAATTAGGTAATTGGCTCTTGATTTCTATGCGTGATAGTTGACCTAGGATGCACCCTTGTCAACTATCATATGATAGAAATCTTGAGCTCATGACATTATCTAGTCATTAAATATACTCCCTTTGAATGATTGAAAATTAATGAGGTTTTAATGTTCTTTTCTCTGCATAGTCTACCAATAATTACATGAGTGCCTTGAGTCATGCCAACAATTGGGGTGCAGCCTTAGAGCTCTTTAATGCAGCTCGTGAAGGTCCCCAAGTCCTTGAACAGCCTCGTGTTTTGGAGAAAGGTCTGATTGCTCTAACCACTGCTTTGAGAAAGGCTGGTGCCACGGTTGGCATGCTTACTGTGGTGCACTTCATGCTGGAGAATCATATCAAGGTCAGCATGTCATGTTAAAAGTATAAGGTCTCATTATCACAGCAATTTTATGTAGTAATTAAACGCACCTTTTAGCCAAATGTGGATGGGTGAAAAAATTCCCTGATAACATTACAAAATTCCCATAAGAAAACTTGGTTTCTTTTATTGTGACTATGTTTGGGGAAGTGAGAAACGTGATCTTGAATGGTTAGTTTGTAAGTATTTATCCTCTCGCATTTCAAGAACATATTTCAATTTGTTCAACAAGAAAGTGAAGGAGGGACAAACAAGCATGCACAATGTGTATATGTCAACGATTGAAAAACAAGCATATATAAAATATATTCCTTTTGACATTGGGGTACTGGTCTTGGTTCATTTAGCCTGATGATAGTGTCTTACAGTCAGCTGTGGAAAGCCTTGATAAGGAGAAAAACTATAAAGGTGTCCATCAGTTTTTCTGCCAGGTATGTGTTTCATTAACTGAAAATGTTAGCCTTGTAAAGTATTGTTCCTTACTTGCCGACTTTTCCCGAGTCCTGACTTCTTAACATTTCTTTATACATAATTTGTGACAATCATGTGTTAACTACATGGTCCCAGTACATCAGAGGAGCCTTCTTCAATTAACAGACTTTCCACAGTTAGGTTTGGTTTAATGATGGGCTTGAACTGAAATTAATCATTAAATTATGGTGAAGCACAAGATGATCAACAGACTAAGTCAGTATAAATTATAAATTATTGTCTGTGTTTGGAGAAACTAAGCTGTTACAGGGAAAGGTTTACATGAATGCATGTGGTCTTCAATAAGAGAGAAGTTGTTTGTTTTGTCCTGGTCATAACAAGCTGGCTTAGAACTCTGGAGTTGTGGGATTCTCCATTATGACAGTTTTATTCAATGTTTTCAGCTTGAAGCAGCTGAGATTGTTCCTCCAGTGGTTGTTTATCGCCAGATTATTTCATCTCTGGAGAACTGGACTGAGAATCCAACTGCTTCGGTTGAACCTTACATGGCAATGCGGCGTGCATACCCTGCAAAGCAGCCAGATGCCACTACAAAAGAAGAAGCCATCAGCAGTGACAAGTAAGTTAATATTGCCCAGAATTGCTCCATTTTGGTATACACACTTTTTTCATAGGCCTCATTACACTAGGTATTTTTAGTTGTGTTTTTGCCAACATTCATTTGAAATGTTTTGGCTATGGTTAAGGGTATCAACTTGAAGTAAGAAAACCAGGAAGGTTGACCTCTATTGTGAAAGTTTAGCAAAAACTACAGTTAGAGGAGGAGCAGTTTGGTCTGCGTGGTTAAGGTGAACATTACTACGTAAAGCCACTTCAAGAAAGGTTGTCGAGCAGCAGTGTAAACATTTAGGCAACAATGCTCAAAGTTATTAGGGGTTAGTTCACATTGTTTCAGCCCAAAGGAAGGAGAAACCACAAATACTGGTATTCATTATCTTTCCTTCTATCAGGCTGAAACCACAAACTTCTGTCAACCAGTAGTAAACTAACTGTACCCACCCTTCTTGTTGGTACTGTCAAGTATGCTTAAATATTTTATTGCAGTATAGCTTTCCTCAAAATAGCTGTATGTGACAAATAACAGAATCTTCGTAATGCTAGGAAGAAAAAAGACCCCCACAACATGGTTGTCTTTCTTTCCCTATGTACAGATGCAGATTGTTTTCGTTCATTAATAATAATTGTGTTTATGACCTTGTTGCAGTGACATGAATGACCAGCGTGGACAGCCGGTATGCAAGTACTATGGAACACCTAGAGGGTGTTTTAGTGCAAACAACTGCACATTTGTACACCCAGAGGGAGCCGTTTCCTTTCCAGAAGGATCTACCCATGGTTCTGGAGGTAAGGCTTTGCTCTTGCTGTATATGTGGTAAAAGGCCATTCCTGCATTCTCTTGATTGGGCGAGATCTAGCTTGCTGTGGTGCAGGGCTCAAAATGAAAAAAAATTCCAAGTCGCCATTGGGCGACTATCAAAGAAAAAATGGTTGCCAAATGCAAAAATTTAGTCGTCAGATAGTAAAAGAACAGAAACTCAGATTAGAGCCTCATTTTATTAGCATTGTTGTTCGGCTTCTGGTAGATTGTGGCTGCAGTTGTGGGACAGACTGAAATACGCGATCTTGAATGACTTAAGACATCAAAACATGAAAGAAAAAACTCCGGAAGACTTCGGCATGACAATCTTACCTGAAGGCTGGTTTCCATATGATCGCAGACGATCGCGGATCGCNTGTTCAAATTAATTCTTCACGCTAAAGCGAAAGCTTGAGTTTTTGTTGAAAACTTCTCAAACTTTTACAGTCATTTTATCGGCTGTGGCGGTACCAATTGCTCCAAAAGTTGAATTCAACTTTGAAGTAATACTGTACATTACTATTTTTGTTTTCTAAAGTCCGGGAAACTGCTTAAAATTCGTGAGCGATATTCAAAACTTACTTGAAAGCGTACAACCGATCGTCATGGTTCGAGGACTCTGTACTTGTTGATCTTCCATTCTGAGGCCACCTGAACATTGACTTACATTTTTTCCTTTCTATTTTAAATCTCAAAGCAGCAATTTCTCCATGATAGGAATGAAACAAGACCTTTGTAGTTCATAGATTTTGTCTGCAACGCGCCATTATTATTACCTACCAATTCCCGGCGGCCAAAAAAATTTCACATTTGATCGAGGCCATTTGTGCCACACAGCCAGCCAGCCAGCCAGCCAGCCCAAAGTGGCGTCCAAACCCTGAAATCATCTGGCATCGCAGAAAACCGCGGGACATAAAGCCGTGGGAATGACCCAATTAGTATGCGTTCTCCTATCATCGAACGCAAGAAGGCTAAGTTTGTACAGAGAGGGAAGGGTATGGTTTGGTCTAAAATCTTGAACCCTTGCTTTCACTGTGCAAGGGTACAAAGTAATTTTTGTCGAAAGGCATAGTCAATGTTTGTTGATTTAAGAAGGGAATAAAAGCTCTTTCTCTTCATTTTTGTTTAGGGAGTACTCCTGGTGAAAGCATCGCTGGAAGCATTACAGAAAAGAGACCCTCAAACCCATTTGTTCTGCAAGGACAGGGTGTCCAACCTGGTGACATTCCTTCAAGCTTATGTCAAGGAGACTATCAAATAAACCAGACGGTATCAGATACTTTGCCACATTTGTCACAAACCAAACCAGCCAACTCCATACCCTTCACAGAGATGACAAATCCAGGCAGTTCCCAAGTGCCATTTAGAGCTGAAATTAGCATAGGTTCTGAAGCATCTTTTAAAAGGTAATTCTTCAAGCTGAATTTCAAGGCTGCCAAGTAGCTGTTTCTCATTCCTGAGAATAAAAGAAGACCTAAAAAATGAAATAAGACCTGTGGGGCACGAAAACAAATTTGAAATCAAGTTGCCCAGTAGGCCAGTACATTTCAGTTTTCAGTTGCCCCCACTAAAATATTACTTTCCCAATAGGTGCGCAATGTTCATGCCTTATCAATTAAATTGGATGACGATGAAAAGAAACGCAGAATTTTTCTGTTTTTCGCCACCATGTCTGGAATCTACTACGTGCTTTATTAGTGCCAGACTTCTGTTGTACACAATCTCCAATATGGTGGCCAATATGGTGGCCAATATGGCGATCGGAGGACAAACACCAGCAAAGTATGCTTAGATTTTAACTTAAGCCATGCTTTCAAATCATTGTTTTGCTCATCTTGTTTTTGATGGGAAATTATCACTAACAAGATTACTGAGGCTAATTTCACTTACCATTGTTGGAAACTAAATTTTGACAGCACTCACCTGGGGCTGGGCTGGGGCTGAGGCTGGGTGGTTGGGTTATCACAGCAACCTTTTACTCGAGCCAAAAGTGGTGCATAAGGCCTCCACTTTTGTCTTGTGTTGTGGGTTGCACCTCACTCCAGGACTGCCACCCTGCTCTGGACCTCTCCCTTTTCACTGTACATTGATTTTGGCTGACCTCTCATTCTCTTTCACTCGGGGGCCCGTGTTGGGGCTGTAATAAAGTGATTGTCATGTTGTTGTCTGAAGATATGTCCAAGGAATCTCATCATCTTCTTGCACAGCAATGTAGGATATTGAGCAGTGGCAAATTTCTGTCCAGTCATTTGCAGATTACCCTGCAGAAGTTTGTCAAGTTACCCAAACAATTTGTCCCCCAGTAATCTTGGGTGGATTGAAGCACTGTGAGAGTTGGGTGTGTTGTTTAAGATGGCACCCAGACCTTCCAGCCAGAGCCTCAAGAAATGAATATCCATAAGTTGTGTAAGTAAAATTCTCCAGATCTGCTATACTTCACACATACTAATGTGTGTATTGCCTTTCTTGTAGTCTATCATCCCAAAGCCAGAACCAAGGAAACATTTGCCACTTTTATGGTACACGTCAGGGTTGCCGCCATGGTGATAAGTGTCGTTTTGTCCACCATCAAAGTGGTGTTTCCATGCGGGCAAACNTAGCACTTTTTTTGCAGCATGCCAGTGAACATCAGAGCTGGGAAGACCTTGGTTATGTTTATGTGAACATGAAAAATGAAGAATTGGAAATTGACTATGATGTGTTGCAAACATTTTATCATGCATTTGAAGCCAACTGCCCCCAAACTGTAGGAGAATGTTTTGAAAAGTTTAGCTTAAAAATACACCATCACCTGGAGCAAAGAATGCCAAACCTAGAACCTGACTGTAGTCCTAGTGCTTTGTTAGATGATGATGACAAATTTTTCCTGGGTCAGTTAGGAGTGGCACTGATGTACCTAACTTACAGTAAACAGCTCTTTAGTCAGGGCTATACTGTGTTACATGTTTTGCATAATTTCAGCATTAACTACTCGTTGTACAGTGGCGAATTTGGGGTTCAGAAAAGGGCACTGACAACAACTGAGGTGGCACTTACAGCGGCAGACATCTGTCTTAACATTAATGAACCTCTGCACAGCAGTGCGTTAGAAGTACTTCGTGGTACAGACTATGCTCTTCCATCTGCTGGGACAATGTTGACTCCTGAGGAGGCTGAATGGAGAAGGGGTGTTTTCCTGACTTTGTGTCAGCATTTTATAAGTAGAATGGAATTTGATTTAGTATTTGAACTGCTTGATAAGGTTGGAGATATTGAAGTCTTTGGAAGCACAGAGCTCAAGGCTTTGTATAATGCACTTCTTTGTGGTTTGATCAAGAACAATCAACTAGATGATGCCACAGAAATCTTCCAAACAATGGTAGAGAACCGTATTTCAAGAGAGCCAGAATCAGTCAGAGCCTTAGTGAATGGCTTCGGAGAGGCAGGACGTAGCCAAGAAGCCAAGCGCCACTTCATGAGTGGTGTCTATTCGGGGGTGTATCCCCCTATCTTTAATCAAGATAACCCTTGGACAGTTTCAGTTGGTGTCAGCTTTTCAGCACTAGAAAGCCAGTTCTACATTGAAAAACACTTGATATCCCTTCAAGAGTTCATTGCACAATGTTCCTCTGGAGATGGTGTGTTGGATGACAATTTGTACAGACCATTAACAGTTGTTATTAAGTCAGATGAGGTGCCCAATTTATACACAACTAACAAATACGTCCCCAAGGATGAGATCATTCATGCTATGCGAGAAAAGGTTTGCACTGTCTTGAGTGATGACTTCAACCCACCCCTCTCTTGTACACGGCAAAGTAAAGTTGAGGTAAGAAAAGTGAGGGAATTTCTT